CTTCCAGACTAAGACAGAGCAGGAAGAAGGACATGATCAGATCCACTTGTGAAAAAAACTGACCACTGAAAACCTTATGAATAATGAGGAAACATTCATATAGTGCTGGAAAATGAGCCCCTAAAGTTGGAAGGTACTCAAAATATGACTGGGGAAGAATTATCTCTTCAAAGTAAAGTCGATCTTAATGGCGTGATAGAGTAAAGCTTTCAGGACCTTCACTAACTCATGTGGCACAATTCAAAATGAGAAGAAACCATTGCAAACATCCAATAATAATCAGAATGTGGGATGTACAAAGTATGAACTGAGGAAAATTGGAAGTTGTTAAAAACAAAATGGAACACATGAAGATTGATATCCTAGCCATTGTTGTCATTTTTAGGTGCCTTTGAGTTGGTTCCAACTTGAAGCAACACTATGTACAATGGAAAGAAACAATGGACTCGTATTGGCCTTTTTCAGACAATCTTATGGTCTACTATGCCAAGAATGACACATTGAAGAGGAATGGTGTCATATTCATCATCAAAAAGAATATTTCAAGATCTACCCTAAAGTGCAATGCTATTAGTGATAGTATAATATCCAAACCAAAAAAAGACAAACTCACTGCCATGGAGTCAATTTGACTCATAGCAAGCCCTCCTTGGGTTTCTGAGGCAGTATCTCTATGGAAGTAGTTTGCCCAATCTTCCTTCCAAGGAGTGGCTGGTGGGTTTGAACTGCCAGCCTCCGGTTTGCAGTCAAATGCTTTAGGCACTACTCTTCCAGAGCTCTCATATAATATTCACACACCTACAAAGAAAACCAGTTAATAGTGTTATTATTCAAATTTACACACCAGACATTAAAGCCAAAGATGAAGAAATTAAAGACTTTTATCAACTTTTGCTGTCTAAAATTAACTAAATATGCAATCAAGATGTATTGATAATTACTTGTAATTGGAATGTGAAAGTTGGAAACAAAAAAGAATTATTGGTAGTTGGAAAATATGGCCTTGGTGATAGAAATGATGCTGGAGATCACCTGATAGAATTTTGCAAGACCAACAACTTACTCATTGCAAATACCTTTTGTCAACAACATAAACAGTGACTGTACACATGGATCTCTCCAGATGAAATACACAGGAATCTAATCAATTACATCTGTGGAAAGAGAAGATGGAGAAGCTCAATATCATCAATCAGAACAAGGATGTGGTGGAACAGACCATCAATTGTTCATATGCAAATTTAGTTGAACTTGAAGAAAATTAAGTCCACAAGAGCTAAAATAATGACCTTGATTATATCCCACATGAATTTAGAGACCATCTGAAGAACAATTTGACACATGGAACATGAATGACCAAAGACCAGATGAATTGTGGGATGGCATCAAGAACATCATTCATGAAGAAAGCAAAAGGTCATTAGAAAGACAGGACAGAAAGAAAAGATGAAAATGGATGTCAGATGAAACTCTGAAACTTGCTCTTGAATGGAAAGTAGCTAAAACAAATGGAAGAAATGATGAAGTGAAAGAGCTGAATGGAAAATTTCAAAGGGCAGCTCAAGAAGACAAAGGAAAGTATTATAATGAAATGTGCAAAAGCCTGGAATAAGAACACCAAAAGAGAAAGACATGCTCTGCATTTCTCAAGCTGAAAGAACTTAAGAAAAAAAAAAAAATTCAAGCCTCAAGTTGCAATATTGAAGAATTCTATGAGCACTGAATGATGCAGTGAGCATCAAAAGAAGATGGAAGGAATACAGAGTCACTGTACCAAAAAGAATTGGTTGATGTCCAGCCATTTCAGGTGGTGTCAAGTGTTCAAGAATCAATGACACTGAAGAAAGAAGTCCAAGCTGTACAAAAGGAATTGTGAAAAACAAGGCTCTCAGAACTGACAGAATGCCCATTGAGATGTTTCAACAAATCGACGCAGCACTGGAGGTACTTGCTCATTTATACCAAGAAATTTGGAAGACAGCCACCTGGCCAACCAAATGGAAGAGATCCATATTTGGGCCCATTCCAAAGGTAGGTAGTCCAATGGAATGCAGAAATTATAGAATGATAACATTAGTACCACATGCAAGTAAAATTTTGCTGAAGATAAATCAAAAACAGTTATAGCAGGTTATTGACAGGGAACTGCCAGAAATTCAAGCTGAATACAGAAGAGGACGGAGAACAAGGGATATCACTGCTGATGTCAAATGGATCTTGACTGAAAACAAAGCATACCAGAAAGATATATTCCTGTGTTTTACTGACTATGCAAAGACATTCAACTGTGTAGATCATAAGAAATTATAGATAACTTTCTGAAGAATAGGAATTCCAAAACATTTAATTATGCTAATGAATCACCTTTACATAGACCACGAGGAAGTAATTCAGAACAGAACAAAGGGATACTGCATGGTTTAAAATTAGGAACGTTGTACATCAGGGTTGTATCCTTTCACCATATTTATTCAAACTGTATGTTGAACAAATAATCCAAGAAGCTGGACTATATGAAGAAGTATGCAGCATCAGAATTGGAGGAAGACTCATTAACAACTTGAGATATGCAGATGACATAAACTTACTTGCTGACAGTGAAGAAGACTTGAAGCATTTACTGATGAAGATCAAAGACTACAGCCTTCAGCATGGATTATACCTCAACAAAAAGAAAACAAAAGTCCTCATGACTGGATCAATAAGCAACATCATAATAAATGGAATAAAGACTGAATTTGTCAAGGATTTCATTTTACTTGCATCTGCAATCAATGTCCATTGATGTCAAAAAATCAAATGATGTATTGCATTGGGCATCTGCTATAAAAGAGCTCTTTAAAGTATTAAAGAGCAAAGATGTCACTTTGAAGACTGAGGTGTGCCTGACACAAACCATATTTTCAATAGCCTCATATGCATGCTAGAGCTGGGCAATGGATTAGGAAGACTGAAGAAGAATTGATGCATATGAATTGTGGTGTTGGTGAAGAATACTGAATGCAGAAGAAAGAACAAATCTGTCTTGGAGGAAATACAGTCAGAACGCTCCTTAGAAACAAGAATTTCTAGAGTTTGTCTCTCACATTTTGATCATATTGTCAGAAGAGACCAGTCCCTGGAGAAGGATATCACGTTTGATAATGTAGAGGGTCAATGAAAAAGGGAAAGAACCTCAACAAGATGAATTGACACTGTGGCTGTAACAGTGGGCTCAAACATGACAATGATTGTAAGGACTGCACATGACTGGGCAATGTTGTGTTCTGTTGTACATAAGGTCTCTATGAGTCAGAACCAAGACAATGGAAGGTAAAAGCACAACATGCAATGAAGATTCAATCATGACTATGAAGCAAACAAAAGCTCTGGACATGGAAGCTCCATGGGCTTCCTGGTTGGAGAAACATATCAATGTGCACATGGGAGGGTAGAGAGCCCTTCAGGACATGGAAGCTTCACCCTAGGAACCCTTGCAGTCCTCACTCTGTGTGTCTCTTCTTTGTGCTGATCCTGTTCTGTATCCTTTACCCTATGATAAATCTATTACCATAAATATAGTGCTTTCCATGAGTTCTATGAATCATTCTAGCTATTTAACAAATCCAAAGGAGTAGTAGAGCACAGAAAGTAAGGAGTGAAGGAATCAACAGAGCTGTAAGTTTGTGGGTGGCATCTGCCTTTTTGGTGGGCTCAAGAACTATGCCCTTTTGATTTGTGAAATCTGACCTGGCTCCAGGTGGCTTTGCTGTTGTTGTTGTTGTTATGTGCCATCAAGTTGGACTCGACTCATAGCGACCCCTCCTTGGATTTCCAAGGCAATATCACT